CGCCTGTCAGCGCGCGTACCCGCAGCTCCAGCGGCTCTCCCTGCCTCCACCTCCGTCCCGTCAAGCCGGAGCCCCAGGACACGCCTGTCAGCGCGCGTACCCGCAGCTCCAGTGGCTCTCCCTGCCTCCACCTCCGTCCCGTCAAGCCGGAGCCCCAGGACACGCCTGTCAGCGCGCGTACCCGCAGCTCCGGCGCCCTCGTCGAGCCCAAGGTGGAGTCCAGCCTCCCCCCGGAGTACGAGGAGATAGCCCGGCGCGGCTTCTCCGACGAGGACGCCATCCGGTGGTCGCGCGACGACTACGTGCGCGAGGAGATGGTCCGGCAACGCCGGGCCCTGGAGGAGATCGCCGCCCGCAAACGCGGGCGCGAGGACGGGGACGGTGCCATCGTCCTCGATAGCGACGATGACGACGCCCTCGGACCGTCCAACCCGCCGCGCCAACCGGAGGAGGGATGCAGCAGGGACGGCGTAGGCGTAGGCGGGGGCGACGACGACGACGACGACGGCGGCGGCGGCGGTGACTACACGCGGTTCTACAGCCTCCTCGGCTTGTAGAACCGCGTGGGCGGGCGGCGAGGCGGACGGCGAGGGAGACGGCGGGGATAGCACGCGGTAGTTTTTTTTTTCTTTTTTTGTAAAATATGTTTAAATTTAAACGAACTCGTCCGTGTTTGCGTTGTGTTTGCGCCGAATTTGAACATTTTAAAAACCCGTGGGGGGCCGCGATTGGGGAACATCACGCCTCGAGTGTGCGGTTTAGCGCCGGTGCGTTCCCAGAAGGCGATTTTTTGCTCCTCCTGAGGGGCCAACGGATGGAGATGCCCTCATGTATTTACATTCGTTCGTTCGTCCGTTTCGTACGTGCATACGTGGCCCCCCTTGTGGTTAGCGCTGGCCCCCTTTTTTCCCCGTTACCGGATTCTCACTCCTTTTGTGGCCCTGATGAGTGATGACACTGTTTCCTCGATCAACACGGTAATAAGCACAGCAATACCTGCTGTGGCTCTCACAGCGCGGAGTTTAACGTTTCTGTCGTCGATGATTCAGCATGGCCTCGCACGACTAGTATTACCTACTTCCTCTGTAAAAAATTATAAGATCATTTACTAGATCGCTAGTATCAGCGTATCCCCTGCCAGACCTGTGACAAGGCTTTAGTTGCACTTGCACGGTGGGGTGATGTAACATTTTGAACCCAATAGCCACTTTGCTTCTTCATCCGGTAAGCTTTCCCGGCGAGCATTGCGTCGCATCGCATCGAAACGGGCAGTGCAATTCACCCGAAAAGAACGACCGGCCTGCCGCTCACTTTGAGGTTGAGAGAGTCAAAAGCCACCATGATCCAAGGGCCCGGCCCCAGCTAGGTGTCGCGCTGCAATGCAACTTGTACTACTGCAACACGAATCCGGAGGGAGAGAGAGTAAAGTTGCAACGGCAGCAAAGCGATGAGCTGCACTGCGCTTGTCATCGTTCGTCCTCTTGTAAGGGAAGAAGTTGTCGCTCTGAAACAAGAAGCTCTCGCAGAAATTGTGCAGAGGATCCGGCAATTCGGAGGCCCCATGCCATTGCCATTGCCATTGCCATTGCCATGGCACAGCTAGGGATGGAATCCTCTTTACACCTAGGCATGGCAATGACGTGATTGATTGCGGCGTCCTGCAGTTGCGGATGCCAGGTGGTAACGTAGAGTGGATTGAATCTCCAGGATCAAATGCTGCAAACATAATATTACTTGAGGTTTACGAATGTATGACTGGCTCAACTGCATCGTTTGGACTAATGTCATTAATCAAATGTGTGCAATCCTTTCGAATGAAAATGACATAACCAAATCGCATGTGGTCGACGAGCTCATCATACAAGGTTCAAACCAACCTGATCATTTATTGCCTGGTGGGATTAGACGGCCAGTGCGGTGTTCCAAATGCCAGTGCACGCGCCTACCTGAAAACCAGGAATCCTAGTGTCTTCCTCCTAAAAATTCTGAAAGCGGCTACTCTTGTTTGCAGGCACGGCTGTTTCTGTTTGAATGGAGCATAGCAAAAGTATTGTTCATGAAATGGAGAATACATCCCGAGTTACATCCTTCTGAATTGCAAGTGTCTCCTCCTGTTGCTGCCACTTCCCGCCTTCTCATCTAATGCAGAAACCAATGTTCTAGGTCTTCTTTTAGATATAAAAGGCATATGCCCGATGCTCAAGGTCTTTATAATCTATATAAGAGCAATTCACATTTGGTTATGAAGTTGCAGTTTGTAACCGGGAGCAATGAAGAAACATCCGAGAGCAGATCTGTTTCAGGGTTTCTTCTTCTGTTAGTTTCTTCAGACATATCCTTTTTAAAGGATTCAGTTAGGTTTTCTGTTGTAGTTCCACTGGCTATTGATCGACTATATTGTGAACACTGAAACCATTTTTGGGAGCAACAATCGGTCAGTCAGTCGCATCTAATACCAGCAGCCGATATACTGTCGCATACAGCAACTACACGAGCATGCTTTGTGTATCTTCTCAGATTGAGAATCATACTCAATCTGAGAAGAAAATCGTCAATCATGCATGCTCTGTGTATCTTCTCAATCGCTGGAGTACTATTCATCAACATGATTGGTGATTCGAGAACACAAATGCTAGAGAACATCGCAACTTTATTACTATGATTCAACGTGCACATTGATCAGGAAGCAAAGACAAGAAGTATTGAAGAAAGAGGAAGACCTTTCTTTCTTTCTCTCTTTCTTTTTCTTCATTTTCAGTCTGGGCCAGCCGCCGCTGATTGGCGGGATGATGGCGAGCTCGTCCCCGTCGGCGGCGGGGGCGGACTCGGGCGCATACTCCTCGTTGAGCGCGAGCACCATGGAGCGGCGGATCTCGTCCAGCTTGGGGAACGAGGCCAGCACCCGGCCGAGGCACTCCCCAGCGGTGCTCCCGGAGGGCACCTCCACGGAGGCCTCCGCGATGCCCGTCAGATCCCGCATTGCAAGTGTCTCCTCCATTGCTGTCAGAGAATTCATCCTGAGTTACATCCTTCTGAATTGCAAGTGTCTCCTCCATTGCTGTCGCTTCCCGCATTCTCATCTCATGCAGAAACCAATGTTCTAGGTCTTTTTTTAGATAAAAGGCATGCACCCGATGTTCTAGGTCTTTAATGATCTATAAGAGCAATTCACATTTGGTTATGAAGTTGCAGTTTGCGACCGGGAGCAATGAAGAAACATCTGAGAGCAGATCTCTTTTAGGGCTTCTTCTTCTGTTAGTCTCTTCATTCAGACAAATCCCTTTTAAAGGATTCAGCTACCTCAGACCGATTAGCACGGCGTGGGCTGGACCACCAAGACGCTTGCCCGTTTTGCGACCAAGCGGAGGAGACCATAGACCACATACTCGCCCAATGCGTTTTTTCGAGAGAGATATGGACACGGATATGCATGGCGATGAACAAGCAAGAGTGGATACCAAACGGGGACACAAGGCTGACCGAGTGGTGCCCAGCCAAGGGTGGAAACAAAGGTGAAGGAAAAGACATCCGCACCCTCGTCCTCCTTGTCATGTGGAAACTGTGGAAGCACCGCAACTCGATTGTGTTTCGATGGTGCAACACCATCGGTAGGAGAAGTACTACGCCGTATAGAGGAGGAGGGCAGAGCGTGGAGGACGTCAGGCATCATCAAAGCCGACGTGGAAAGCTTCTTTGCGGCTCTAGCGATGGGCAATGACGCGAGGAGTTAGCAATATGTAATAGATTAAGTGGAGTTGGGTGTATATATGTGTATGTAAACCCAAAGTGGAGGGGCTCTTTACCCCCTTTTCTCTTCTACTCCCTCCGTTCCTAAATACGGAGTACTTGTCTTTCTAGGCATTTCAACAAATGACTACATACGGAGCAAAATGAATGAATCTACACTTTAAAATATGTCTACATACATCCGTATGTAGTAGTCATTTGAAATGTCTAGAAAGACAAATATTTAGGAACGGAGGGAGTATAATATATAGTACGCACTCTCGTGCGTACTCGAGAAAAAAGGTTTTCTGTTGTAGTTTCACTGGCTATTGATCAACTGTGTTGTGAACGTTGAAACCATTTTTGGGGAGCAACCATGGTCAGTCAGCCAGCATCTAATACCAGCAGGCGATATACTGTCATATACAACAACTACACGAGCATGCTTTCTGTATCTTCTCAGTCGCTGGAGTGTTATTCATCAACATGATTGATGATTCGAGAACACAAATGTCAGCGAACATCGCAACTTTATTACTAGTATTATTCAGCGTGCACATTGATCAGGAAGCAAAGACAAGTATTGAAGAAAGAAGACGACCTTTCTTTCTTTCTTTTTCTTCATTTTCAGTCAGCCGCCGCTGATTGGCGGGATGATGGCGAGCTCGTCCCCGTCGGCGACGGGGGCGGACTCGGGCGCGTACTCCTCGTTGAGCGCGAGCACCATGGAGCGGCGGATCTCGTCCAGCTTGGGGAACGAGGCCAGCACCCGGCCGAGGCACTCCCCCGCGGTGCTCCCGGAGGGCACCTCCACGGAGGCCTCCGCGACGCCCGTCAGATCCCGCGCGCGGGCGAAGAACAGCACCTTCACCCTCACCTTCTCCGCCGCCTCCGCTGATCCGGCCGCGGGGTCGTCCCCGGGAGCAGCGTCCGGAAGCATGAGGAGACCGTATTTTTCTGGACTCTGGGGTACGACTACGGGATATGACCACGACGGAGGCGGGGGAAGGAGCCAACCAAGTGGTTGCACTGACCAAAATACCCCTCGCACTTCTGATTGCTGCCCTCCGGACTACGGGCCGGCGCCACCACGCCGCTCGCCGGACCCCAACACAACACGCACGTCCGCCTGTCGCCGCCGCAGGAGCCCCGCCGGCGAAACTCGAGCACGCGCGCCAGTTCGCTGCTCGTCAAATCGCATTTTGTCTCGGCTTCTAACCGGCGGCGCATCTGCGCTGAGGGCAACGTGTTCGATGAAATGCCACCGGCTGGGCTTTTGGCTCGGCGCGTCGTGCGTGGGGGAGCTGAACCGCTGGTGAGGTCTGTGCGTCCTCTCAGAGCGTGGACGCGATGGCTGCACGGGGGCAGGGAGCCACAGGAAGAAGAGATCCCGTACGCCGACGTGCCTCGGCCCGGGAGGAAGTGGGAGAGGAAGCCGTACGTGACGCCGATGAAGGTCCTCATCCGGAGGGCCAAGGAGGAGAGACAGGCCCGGCAGGAGGCCCCGTGCCGCGTGCTGGAGCACCCACCCGCCAATGGCCTTCTCGTGCCGCACCTCGTCGAGGTTGCGCATCGGGTGCACAGAGCAAGGGAGAGGCTCCTCAGCGGCCTCGCCAGCCTTGTCAAAGGCGATGCTGCCATCCCGGTGAAGCGATGCAGGTAAAAGGAAAACATGCACACCCCAATGACAATGTAATTCGCTTTGCGCAGCCATGGTCTGGTGGATTCAGCATGGTGGTAGGAGTAACGGTGTCAAGTGTCTGATCAGGTTCTGCTCGGAGGTGCACATCGGTGACGTCGGGCATGAGATCAGGACGTGTGAGGGCCCCAACAGCGCGTCGAGGAACTCCTTGCACGTGTGGCGGCCAGGGACGGTACGGGACGTCCTCGGCTTCCCATACTGCTACCACCTGTTTGATCGCGTTGGGAAGCCCAGGGTGGTGCACAAGGAGAAGTACGTCGTCCCGAGGCTCCCGGCCATCCTGGAGCTATGCATCCAGGCCGGTGTCGACGTCGAGCGTTACCCAACCAAGAGGAGGACGAGGCCAGTTTACTCAATCGACGGCAGGATTGCAGACTTTGAGCTGGACGATGAAGACGGCTCCTCAGAAGCAGAAACATCACCTGAAGCTTGGTCTTATCCATCCCCGCCGCCTCAAACGAGTTCTGCTTGTACAGCCTATGTCGGTAACCGGACAGAAGAAGAGATCACTGTGAGAGAGATGAGCTCCAGGACGCTGCAGTCCTGGCTGGATATGCGGTCAGGCGCAGCGAGGCTGATGAGGAAGTACAGTGTGGTCACCTGCGGGTACTGCCCAGATGTGCAGGTCGGGCCCAAGGGCCACAAGGTGAGGATGTGCAAGGCTAGCAAGCACCAGCAGCGGGATGGCCAGCACGCGTGGCAGGAAGCCACAGTAGACGACATCGTCCCCCTGAACCATGTCTGGCACGTCCGCGACCCAGCTGGCGACAGTGTGCCTCTCGCGAACGAGCTCAAGAGGTACTATGGCAAGGCCCCGGCCGTGGTAGAGCTCTGCGTGCGTGCGGGCGCGCCAGTACCGGTGCAGTACAGGAGCATGATGCGGCTGGACGTTGTGCCGCCCGCACGCGACGAGTACGACCTCGTTGCCTGATACTCAGATTGGCATTGCGGTGCCTGGTGCTCGTGCATGTTTTTGAGTTCGCCTGCATGTCGGAGCTGCACAAGGTTGAAATGGTCAGGATGCCGATGCTTTTTTTCTTTTGAGGGTTGCCGATGCTATTTCTTCAGGGCATGTTTGTTTCTTCAGGGCATGTTTGTTTTTCCTTAGTTTTCATCTAAGTCTGGGGAGAGAAGTCTGCATTACCCCCTGAACTTGTCTTAGGGTTTACTTTACAACCCTCAACTTTACTTTGGTTCAAATTTCACCCTCCAAGTTTCAAAGCCGTTCATAATACAACCCTGAGATGTATTGATATATTTTATCTCCGGTTTTGTCAGCCACATCGTTGGTTTTTTCTCCTATAGGTTCTCAGGACAAAATTCTCCCATGTTAGTAAGAGTGTTTGCATACTTTGAATTGGGGTCAATATTGCTGGTTAACTTTTTTGGTTTCTTGATAGTTTTCTCAGCCAAGGAAGTGAATCATGCAAGTGTGATGGTTTTCTCAACAATAGTGAGCTAGTCCAAAGGCATAACTAGGGATCTGTTTGGTTTTTATCTTTCCACACATGCAAATAGTTTTTTCTCTGAATCTCACATTTGAGTCCACGGGCTCATCGGCAGAGCCTCGAGGGAAGGAAGCTTCACCCTAGCCGCCGCCACCGCGGGAGGGGAATGAATGGATCGGTTTTGCTTGCGTATATACCTAGGTCTAAACTATCTGTTAACAGCTTACATCCGAGGCCGAGATGAATGTACTCCTTCATGAATCGGATGCAGTTGGTGACAGTCTGACAGATCCTCATGTAGTCATGTCCCGTGCTTCTTCTGCTGCTGTTGCCACTCGAGAATTGCCGAATGGAGCGCTCTGTTTGGGGTGAGATCGCAGTGTTTGAGCTTCAGGTTCGTCATCGGCGACGTGTCGTGTCCACTGTCGAGCCACCTTCTGATAGCTTCAGCTTCGTATGTGAACCCATCTGCTGCAATCTGGGGGTCACGCATCACCTCCTGTTCACCGTGCATCAACCAAAAGTTGGTAAGTTCAGATGCTTCTCTAGTCTCTACTACTAAGACATTAAATTACGATGCAGTTTGTGAATCCTTACTAACCTGAGAGATTGCACAGACAAAGCTGGATGGTGTGTGTGTGTCATCTGACGAAGCTGCAAAGGATGGCCGCCCAGCGTTCCAGGAGGCGGCCTTCATCAGTGGCTCGAGCTCTCCCCACACCCCCTCTATAAGATCTGGTTGGCGCTTCCCACTCAAGTTGGTGCATCTCAGTCCAACACGCGCAAGCTGGTCGGCCTGTTGGTATGGCCAGCTCCCTGCGGAATCGTCGATAATGGAATGCAGGTGCCCCTTCTCCATCGCTTTTTCTACAGTCACAACGATCTTTTGCGATGACCTTCCTGTCAGCAGGCGTAGGATGATAATGCCAAAGGAGTACACATCGCACTGTGGGGTGAGTTCCCCAGTGGTTAAGAACTTGGGATCCTTAGGCCCAGTTCTTTTGCCAGAATCTGGGGATTCTCCCAGAATCCGACCCCTACCCAGCTTCTCCCAGAATCTTTGAGCCCCATTTGTTCTTAGTGTTCTTTGTGGCCCTTGGATTTTTCGAAACCTGGCAGATTCTCAACTTGCTCACAAAATTAGCGTCAAGAAGAATATTGTCCGGCTTTAGATCACCGTGAACAATGGGGAGAGGCTTGTGGGAGTGGATAAACGTCAAAGCCGACCATATCTCCCCAATAATCCTGGTGCGCACTTGCCATGTCAATGGTGGTGTGTTTTTCTTTTCCTTACAAGAGAGATGTTCCTCAAGGCTCCTATTTGGGAGGAACTCGTACACCAGGCCAGAACCAGAAGCTTCTTGGCATGCTCCTATAAACATCATGATGTTAGGATGCCTCACTGTACTGAGAAAAGCAACCTGCAGTGACGATGCCATGATGATGTTACTACTCTTTTGAATAAAAGCAAAAATATGATTCAGGAGAAGTCATCTCAATTACCTCTTGATGGAATTCTTGTTGTCCTTGAAGGCGTTGACAATGAAGCAACTTTATAGCTACAGTCGTGTTTCGGAGGAAACCCTTATAGACTCTTCCAGATCCACCTTCGCCAATCTTGAGTGATATATCAAAGCATTTGGTTGCTTGCTGCAGCTCAGATAGTGAGAACACCAAGGCTCCATGCTTATTCTTTTGCCGCAATTCTTTAGCCTCTGTTACTGCAGTATCTCTCTCATGTAGTGACTTGTCATACTTTGCTTGAATTTCTTGGATAAAGTGTTTGCTCTTTTCAAGCTCTTGTTCATGAAATTTTATGGCTGACTTCATATCAGATATATATTTGGCATTTATATCTGCCAGCTGTCGTATCATTGCCTGAATTTCCTCCTCCCGAATTGCATGCGCCTCCTCCACTGCTTTCCGCTTTCTCATCTCACGCAAAATACCATGCTCTAGTTCTTTAACCTATAAGAGCAATCCACATTTAGTTATGAAGCTGCAGTTTGTAACTGGGAGCAATGAAGCAATATCTTACCATTTCAAGAGCTGAGAGCAGATCTCTTTCAGCCCTTCTTCTTCTGTTAGTTTCTTCAGGCGCATCCTGCACATCCTTAATAAAGGATTAAGTCAGATTTTCTATACGATCTCATAACAGACAGCTGAGAGACATACTTCCATACTTACAATTATTTTTAGCCTGAGTATGTGTTCCTTTAAATCTTTTAGCTCATAATATAGTTCATCACGATGCTTCTTTGTTTCTTCAATCTCCACCCTCTGTCTCGTAATCTTCACATCCATGTCTAACCGCTGCCCCTTCTCGTTTTGGTACAGATTCTCCATCTCCCTGGCCTGCAATAATAGTTTAAATTTTATTCACGCACTTCTAAGTTGAACTATACTATTACTTCCTTTTGGAAATGAGTGACGTTGTTTTAGTTTTGAACTAAAACAGCATCACTTATTTCTGAACGGAGGGAGTACTAAAGATTCCTGGAGCAAACTCTTACTTTTTGGAGTGCTGAAAGCAGATCCATTTCGAGTTTTAGGCATTTCTTAGTTTCCTCGCACGATTTTTCTGTAAAGAAGTCAGTAATCTCCTTTACATTATCCTTTCTAGCAGTCTCGATCTGAATGATATGCTGTTCCAGCATGAGCTTCTGCTTCTTTGAATCCTGTAGTTCATCATGTAACGCATAGCGTCTTCTTTTCATTTCGTCAATCTCCAGCCTCTGTATCGTAAGTATCTCCTCAATCTGTTTCCGCTGGTTCACCTCATGAAGATACGTATCTTCTGAAACTTTAGCCTGCAAGAACATTCTTGTCATACTATTTTTGGCTAAAAGAGAAACTAATTTGGTTGGTCTATAAAAGGGATGCTACTTTCATTACTTATGGATATGCAGCATGGACCTACGAAACAAAGCTTACTCTTTGAAGAGCTGAAAGCAGATCTGCGGCTTTGTCACATTTGTTAGATTCGTCATGTCCCTTCCACAGCTCAGCTACAGTGTACACCTCCTGATGTCCGAAATGTGTTTCTTCATCTACAATTAATGCTTCTTCCTGTATGATACCATGAGCAAGGAATTATAACATGAATTACTTTAGTAAATTAATGGTTTAGCACAGATGACCATACCATATGACATTCAGGCACCAAGTGGATGCCATCAGATTCATAAGTTGGAGAGTGTTTCACTTGTCTTAGTTTGTGTGCATCACCAATAATCACAGGTAAAGTTGTGGCTCCAGATATACTGACTGCATCATCTGTCCTCGATGAGATATAAGTGGTCTTTTCCCAATCTGGAGTTCATTATAACAAAAATAAATAGCTTGACTACCTTTAAAGGAGAAAAGGTAAACAGTATGACCAAAATCATTTTCATTGAAGTGTATATGTGTGTCTAGCCCTTTCCATAAGTTTGGACTTTTGGTTGCGTTGGCTAATGCATGAAGCCTAACATGGTATCAGAGCCTAAGGTCTTGAGTTCAAATCCTGACTTCCGCAATTTATCCAAAAATTGCTGCTGCCCCCCTTTGTGTCCATGTATAGGCCTCTTGAGCCATACCTCTAAGTCTATTTGTGTTGTCTTCCCGCGTCACACGTGAGAGGGGGCGTTGAAGTGTATATGTGAATTGTCTAGCCCTTTCCATAAGTTCGGACTTTTGGTTGCATTGGCTAGTGCATGAAGCTCTACAATTTTTACTCTGTTCACATGAGGAAACATTTTCTCCACACATAGAACTAAAAATGGTTGTTGTGATCTGCTACCTCCACGGCGTCCCATATCTTGTTGGTTAATTTCTATGGTGTAGACTCTTCTGAGCTTCAACAATTTTAACATACGTAAAGAATGTAGTTTATGAAAAATATACAAATTATGTTGTACTCCCTCCGGTCCTTTTTACTCTGCATATTAGAATTCTCTGAAGTCAAACTTCACAAAGTTTGACCGTATTTATATAAAAAAATATCAACATCTGCCATGCTAAAGTTATACAATATGAAACTTTAAGTCATGACACGTCTATTGATATTGATTTCAGATTGTGAATGTTGATACTTTTTTCTATAAAATTGGTTAAATTTTATGAGGCTTGACTTCAGTCAAATCTTATATGCGAACTAAAAAGGAACGGAGGGAGTACTTTGTATTATTGCCAGTTCTATTGATTAAACATAGATCTCCGAGTTTATTCATGAACCCTTTGGATTCTTTAAATGGCCAACTATGCAGCGTAAAAAAAAAGGCCAACTATGGAAACCACAAACCAAAATTTTGGTCCTTTTTCTTGTAATACAATAATATGATGTTGTAAGGATAAACCATCTACCGAGATTTAAAAAATAATAATCCAGAACAACTGTTTTTGCAATTTGCAAGAATGGCATAGAGTAGTCACTACAAAGTATAAATATGTTTAGGATAGTCACCTCCAAACAAAAAATCCCAGTCACTCATTTGTGATTCAA